AGGAGGCCTCCCCATGGAGGACCAATCCAGTATGAGGTCTCAGAGTCCGAGCAGGAACAAAGAGAAACCCTAGGGAAGAGCAGGCTGTCAAAGAATGACAAAATTTAAGCCAAGTAAAGGACATCCTGCAGCCTGGCATGAGATGCCCAAGCCTGAAAAAACTGAGGAAAGTGTTCATGCACAGACAGAGCCAACATGTGATGTCAGAACCCACTTGTGGTTAGGAAGGCATAAGCATGGAAGAGGTGGCAATGGGAGATAGGTTACTATTAATAGACATAAAAGACTGAATAAGAAACATATTAAAGATAATGGGAAGCAAGTTTCTCAATGTCACAAAAAGGAATCACAAATACTAGAATAAAGCCTGTGATATTAGATTAGAATTGGAAGTAGAGGTATAAATTTGTTTCAATACCTACATAGATATAGGTAGGTAGTCAGGCAGGCAGAGAGCAGATCGTGAGGGGGGGTGTAAATACAGGCTACATACATATATACATATGTATACACACACACACACACACACACACATTTTGTAGGTCTATGCAGAAAGAGGGATTGGTAATTGTGATATCCCCCCCCCAAAATGAAACTGAAGTATCTGAAATCTAGAGCCCAGAATCTTGGCTTCTAAAATATCATCTTCCAGTAAAAGGAATCAGGGCTCCTAGGAGAAATGACTGTTTCCAAAGCCAGGGCTGAAAAGTTATTATGCCAGAAAACGAGAAAGTGCTCCAAGTGATGAAGATAAGGCAAAAGATACAGAAGTCTAAAGAGGCTACCACTGGCCAAATCTGGGACAATTTTAATATCAATAAATAATGATGGTGTGCTAGGTAGAATAATGACCCTCAAAGATGCCCAAGTTCCACTCCCCATAACCTGCAAAAGGGGAATTACATTTACTAATCAATTGATCCCAAATAGGGAGATTATCCTGGATCATTTGATGGGCCCAATGTAATCACAAGGTTTCATTCAAAGTGGGAGAGAAAGGCAGAGGAACATCAGCGGGAGATGTGACTTTGGAAGAAAGGCCAGAATGATGCAAGGAGATATGGACTCAATCGGCTGTTGCTGGCTTTGAAGGAGGAAGGGGACCATAGATCAAGGAATATGGGTAGCCTTTAGGAGCCAGCAAAAACAAGGAAAGAGATTCTCCCTTAGAGCATGCAAGAAGGATGCAGACCTGATTTCAGCCCTTTGATTTAAGCCCAATAAGACCCATGTCAGATTTCTAATTTACAGAACTGTAAGATGATAAAGTTGTGTTGTTTTAGGACATAACTTTGTAGTAATTTGTATGGCAGCAATAGGAAACTAAGACAGATGCCAATAGGGTATATAACCTGTCAGATAATACAGTTAACAGTGAGTCAACAAAGACAGATATAGAAAGATGGACAGATATAGAGAAAGTTTGATGGTTCAAAGCACTTATCCACAAAATACTTCAGAAAGGAAAAGGATGATTTTATAGTGAGGCCTGGCACACACCACCTTAGTCACACGACCAAAGTGATCATCACAGCAACGGAACAAATTAAAATCATGATTTGCAACCTGATATGATAAAATGAAAGAATACAGTATTAATGCTGTGATATTAATATATAAACTGAAGCTAATTATAAACAAACTTGTTATCTGGTGATATACCCTTCAATTGGATTAATGTTTGGTTATAATTAGATTCAGCTTATTCCAGTATTGTTTAAAATAGTAAAAAAATTTAACTATTGAGGATTTCCATTAATGGAAAATGTGTGTTAACCATTAAGCACAATTTAAAAAAAACTCTATGCTACTGAAAATACTAATATACAAAGAATCTTCAATAACAAAATAATGCTCATGCATACCTACAAAGAATATTTTAGACACATCAAAATTACAAATGTACATTCCTTTTCACCCAACATTTCTAGTTCTTGGATTTTATCCTACAGATTCACACACACATATGCAAAAGAACATGTTAAGTTTTTCAACACTGCATCATTCATAATAGCAAAAGATTACAAAGAACCTAAATGACCATTGAGAAGAGTTAGTTAGAAATATTATGGTATATCTATAAAATGGAATATTCTGCATTTATAAAAAAAAATAATAGGGAAGCTCTTTATGTACTACTGCAGAAGTCTCGCAACAATGTTAAGTGAAAGGGGCAAAGAGGCAAAACTTATACTGTTTGAATAAAAGGTGAAAAAGGAATACATATACATAGATATAGATACAATTTTGTTTATAGACTAGTTCTGGAAGGATATACAAGAAAAGAAAACATTAGTTGCCTCCAGGAAAGGCATAGCTGAAGAAGGTAATAGCTGAAGAAGATTTTTTCACCATACACATTTTAGGCCTTTTGCATTTTGTACCATGTGACTATATACCCTTTTTTATTAAATAAATTAAGCTTATAGTTTAAAATTTAATAAACATTATAGTTCACAGAAAAAGTAAAAAGATCAACAAATCTACCCAAGTAATTTGGCTTTTCTTTACATGTTTTATTTTCCAAATTTTTTTATTGATCAAGTATTAATCAGAAAATTAATTTTTATCTTAAAAACTGGAATTATCTAGAAAAATGTAAAGATGCATAAAATCATAGCTAAAAATATAAAACTCTTTAAATTCTCATTTTCTATTATCACCATTCCATATTATTTTAAAACTTAAAGCAGAAACTTAAAATTCTCTAACCTTTCACAAAGCACACTCTTATGTGAAACTCACATTCTCATTGTATTCTTCATTTTTAAATATTTGTTGCATTAAATGGCTCAGATTCATAGACAATACTAAGAAACAAAATCTTTCTCTCTATCCTATTCCAAAAAAGCCTTAAAGCAACCAATGATGCCAATATTTTCTCTCTGTTGTTTTTGAATTTGAAGTTATAAACAAATATGTATCCTATATGAGTAATAGAATATGTGAGTTTAGATAGTAATTCAGAGAGAGGTCAACTATGCAGACAGAGCAGTTTCTGTTCCCACTCCAACTTTGACAAGGCAAATTGGAGGCCTATCTGGAGAGTCTCAGTCTCACTCTCATCCTAAGTAGATATCCTGCTAAAATAGACACCTGGAGCCAAGATCACCAATAAGTCACTACCCTGTTACTAATAAAACAAACAAACAAACAAAAATGGGAGCAATGAAGAGTAGGCCCGGAAAGAGATGAGAAAAGCTACAGAAAAGTCAACAAACTGGATGAGCCAGAAAGCTCTTTAGAGAACCCAAATCAGCTGAGTTCAGTTTCATATCCATATATATTTAAGAATAACACTAGACTGTGGGTGAGTAGAACCTTCATTTTACAGAAAGAAATCAGCGCTCTTTCTAAAAGCCACTGCCCAATGTTTTTCAAGTATGCCACTATTTGAGTATGACAGAGTAAGTGGGATGACCAAGAAATGAAACCAGGTCTAGACTCTTAATCAAAATACTGTATTGTATCAATCCCCCAAAATTAAGCACTCATCACGTGGAAAGTCTTCACTAGAAAAGGCTCAGATTTAATTTCAACTTTATCAAATAAATACAAAGATATTTCAGAATACAAACAGACAATGTTGCTGAGAGAAACATTGCTTGTTGGCTTATACCATGTTATAAAAGGCTACTGCCTTTCCTAGAAGTGTGATGATTACCATCTACAATAGCAGCAACTTGGGGGTTGGTGGGACAGATAAATCTACATCACTCTATCAATCTTCACATCAATACATTTGCCTCTAAGAGCAAAGGAAAAAGAAGTTTTGCACCCTCATTTCTTAACTGCTTTAAAATATTTTGCCTCTCTCTGCCAAATACCTTCATAATCTTGCAAAGTAACAGATAGGTCTACATTTCATCTTTTTCATCACTAAAATAGTGAGATGGGTGTAATGATCTGAAATTCCTTATAAAATAATGGCAAAATAAAATGCATTTATAAATTCAAGACTAGAACTCTGAAAAGACATGAAGTTAGCTTAAGATCTCAAAATGCTACAAAAATACTTTAAGACTAGATTACATCAAGAACATTCCCAAATTTGTTTCTATAAAATGATTCTGTAGTGATCTGCTTTATACTGAGGCATCCCTATACCATCAACTCCAAATTTTCTGTGCATAAGAGACCAATATAACAGCTAATTTGAAACTGAGTTAAATTTTTTTTTTATTTCAGCATATTATGGGGGTACAAATGTTAAGGTTACGTGTGTTGCCTTCCCCCCTTCCTCCCAGAGTCAGAGCTTCAAGCGTGTCCATCGTACTCATTATGTATGTATATACCCATCCCTTCCTCCCCCTCCCATCTGCCCGACGCCCAATAAATGTTATTCCTATATGTGCACTTAGGTGTTGATCAGAGAAACCAGTTTGCTGGTGAGTACATGTGGTGCTTATTTTTCTGTTTTTGGAATACTTCACTTAGAATAGGTTCCAGCTCTATCCAGGAAAATACAAGAGGTGCTATATCACCATTGTTTCTTATAGCTGAATAGTGAAACTGAGTTAAATTTTATTTTTAAAATTATTTTATAATTGCACAGAAATGTAGATACTTCTGGAAAGTCACAGTATTATATATTGTGTTTTATTATTATTATGTTTAAACATTTGACTTTGGAGGAACTTTCTGTTCAACTTTTTATTTGCTATGTAATTCTAATGTAAATATCAGCCTAGAGAGAACTGGCCACCCACTTCAACTTACTAATTCTTAAGGAGGTAATTATTTTTCTTGGATATTTTTACATTTGATATTGCTTAAATGTGCTTAAGCAGTCAGTCAGCAAATATTCATTGCTCAGAAAGTAAGAACCAAACATTGCTTAGGTCAAAAAGTATTTGAATACAAGGACAAGCAGCAGTTAATCCACTGAAAATACTTAACAGAAGCTGACGCTACCAAAATAAGACTGGAAAAATGAGTAATGGTAACTTAAAAATTGTTGTGAAATAGCTAGTGACTTCCTGGTATTTTTAAATACTCACCTGTAGCAGATAGGAACTGCCTGAATCTAGTAAGCTCGCAGCTTCATTCTGCATCGTGTTCTGCTGTGTAATTGCATCTTCTCGTTTCCGCTCCTTCTGCCCTGCTTCATCATCTTCATACTCATCTAAGCACTGAAAGAAAAAAGTTTCCATTTTATTTCCACATGTAATTTATAGAATGTTTTGATAGTATGTAAAATATGTTTGACAACACTGAAGAAATATTTGTGCATTCAGAAATGAGTTTATACGATAAAGGTGTTCCTTTCAGCAACATGTACATTTAACTCCTATAAATTAAATTATCTGCTTAAAATTCATACCTCCACATTTCACACCGACACCAGCATATCTTTTCCTTAAACTTTAACTACCAGTGACAGGGCTTTCTCAAACAGAGGGTTCATACATTCAAGAAAACTGACTATGTCTACCTTAAAACAAGGCACTTTTACAGAGGGTAACAAAAGATACACTACAGACATGGAATTTATAGTCTACTAGGGAAGATAAGACATAAAACATAGATAACTTAGTGATAAAGTCCACTTTCTAGCTTAATACTGCCTATAAGAGTATAAAGGAAGAGTATTTTCACCTGGAGAGTTAGGAAAGATTCTATGGAAAACCTTGTAATTTAAAGGATCATTGTAATTTGGAATTGCAGATATAGAAAAAATTACAGATGGTAAAAAGAGCATACTGCAGAAGTTAACAAAGGAGGATTGCTCAAAACTGAATCAACACCAGCAATTATTTATCTCCAGACTTTTTACATGAAAAACAACATAGAAACAAATCTCTATCCACTGTACCCATTATGGGTTGAGTTATCTATTCCTTGCAACTAGACACATTCTTAACCAATGCACTGCCTTAAAGGGTTCTGGTAGAGACCCTCCCAGGCACAGGCACTGTTTACAGACACACTAAGACACTGATCAAAGCACAGTAAAGCAGGGAAAACAAATGGAATCATGCATAGAGAAAAAATCATGCATAGACAAGAAAAACACTGAGGCCACCACACAAACCAAGAAAGGTCATCTAAAGGTATGAGGAACATAATGAAGGGAATGCTAGCTTGCTAAGAAGCACATTCAAAGACAAGGTCTACAATGGGCAATATAGAAGAAAGCATCTGTCTGAGACAGAGTATTACAACATTAGGATACCCTGGAGAGGAAGTCCAGAGACAAAATGGAAAGGGCAAATTAAAGGAACAAGCAGGCTGAGATTCCAGAGAATGTTCAGGGTCTTCTGAAATGCAACAGATTGCTTATACCTGGCCCTCATCACATCAACCTATGGCAACTGGGGCCTGGGGAAACAGTACAAGATTGTGTACAGTACAATTGTGATACTGGGATACTACTATTGCTTTGAATCCAAACTGTTCTTGACTAACCCAGGAGACTAGTCTTCTGCCAGAATACACAGGCTAACCTTTCAGTTTGCAAGCAGGGTGAGATTTCAGAGCCTTCACAGTTCTTGACAGAGGTAAAGACTGGAAAGGCATATGCTTTGATCACCAAGGAACGTAAATAATAAATAGCCTGAGAAGTTTAGACTTTTCACTACATACCATGGAAAGCTGTCACAGTGCTACAATTCCTAGGAATATAAGTACAACACGATCAAAATTCTTCTTGGAAAACGAACCTGGTATAGCAATTCAGAGTATAGATTAACAGGAACAGGAACCAAAAGTTAAAAGACTAAACAACATAGTAGGCAATTTGATCCTATGAAAAATGATATATCCTAGGTGTAAAACAGAGTCAATGAAAGAAATCTAGTACAGGGCACAAAAGAAATAACTCCTAACTAGAAAAATAATCTGTCTTAGGAATTTTTTTAAAAATTTCTCAAAACAATAGACAGTGTCATGTTTAATGACAAAATACAAGCAAAATTTAAAAGTAAAATCAAACATAAGACATTGACGTCCACTACCAACATAAGAGATAACATCATTCTGTGACAGCTGATAAAATGAGGTAAGAAGAACAAGAGATTTCAACATTAGAAAGGAAGCAAAATTACCGTTATTTCTGAAGATATAATTTTATAACAAAACCTTAAAAATACTTTAGAGTTTTGAGAGTTCCTTAAGATAGTTTTTCAGTAAGTGTGCAAAAAACAGCTTCCCCAAATAACATCAATAGCTAGCTAAAAAATTAATAGCCATAAAATAAACTAAAAAACAGATAGTACCTATATGAAAAAAATTATAAAACTTTACTGAGGAATACAAATTGAAACTTACTCTTAAATTAAGAAAAACCTACTATTGTGAAGGGGTGCAAGATCCTGGATACTTTCTGGACAGCCCTCCAGAAAGTGTTTTATTGTAAAAACACAATAATGAAAAATACATGATAGAGGTCCTAAAGCAGAAAAGAGACTGAGGCCGGACACAGTGGCCTCACATCTGTAATCCTAACACTTTGGGAGGCCAAGGCAGGAGGATTGCTTAAAGCCAGGATTTTGAGACCAACCTGAGCAAAAACAAAACCCCATCCCTACAAAAAATAGAAAAATTAACTGGGCATGGTGGCATGCGCCTGTAGTCCCAGCTACTCAGGAGGCTGAGACAGGAGGATCCCTGGAGCCCAGAAGATTGTGATGCAGAGTAAGCATGAAGATGCCACTGCACTCTAGCCTTGGCAACAGCACGAGACCCTGTCTCAAAAAAAAAGAAAAAAAAAAGAGAATGAAAGAGCATAGAAAGCATTTTAAATCAAGCAGTTCTTCAATATAGAACAGAGATAAGGGGTCAACCATTTAATGTAAGAAGCAGGAGTCCACGATCTGGAACGAATAAAGAGTGGTCTCATCTCTAGTCTTCTACTCTGTGAAAGCAATCATTCCTCATTCTCCAGCATCTGGACTGCAAAAATCCCTTGCCATAGGATTCAATGTCAGTAGTTTAATGTTAGAATTTTTAAATCATAGATTAGTGTAGACAGAAAGTAAAAGTTAAGGGAAGTATCCATAAACTCCCTGAGCAATGGGGTATTATTTTGTTCATCCTTGTTTTCATTTTCTGAGATGCAGCCCTTCAACATTAACCTTCTCCCTTTCCACTCCCTCAATAAATGTAGACTTCCTTACCAGCACATTTAAAAGAAAGAAAGAGGACAGGTAAGATGGCTCACACCTGTAATCCCAGCACTTTGGGAAGGTGAGGAGGGAAAATCCTCTTGAGGCCAGGAGTTCAAGACCAGCCTAGGCAACATGGCAAGACTTTACCTCTACAACAACAACAACAACAACAACAAAAAAAAAAACCTAGAAAAAATAATTCTACACTTTGTATGGAACCAGAGAAGACCCTGCATAGCAAAATAAATCTTAAGCAAAAACAACAAATTGGGAAGCATCAGTTTACCAGCCTTCAAGCTATAATAACAGCATGGTACTTCCTGAGCGGGTTGTTGATTTCTTGAAGCTTGGTGGATAAATTAAGTCTACTAGAAGTGATAAGCATGTTGCCAAGAAATGATCTGACTGACATGTGCTATGTCTTCTGCAGCAACATGGATGGAACCAGAGGTTTTCTTAATTCAAACAAGCCAGGTACAGAAAGCCAATCATCAAATGTTCTCACTCATTAATGGGTGCCAAAAAGTGTGTACACATTGGTCATAGAGAACAGAATGATAATGGAGACACAAAAGAATGGAGTGGGGGGGGGGTAGATAATGAGCCTTAACCCTAAAAAGCATTAACTTGACCACCATGTTATCTATGTTGGTAACAAAATTGCACGTGCAGTCCATAAATTTGTACAAAAACTAGAAAACAAATTTAAAAATAAAAAAATAAAATGTGCACAGATTTTTCCAGAAAGACAGCTATTCTAGAAAACCCAGGAATATCTTTGTAAGCTTATTTGTTAAAAAGTTGCTTGGTATTTTGGAACATGTCACTAACAGCAAAACTATTTATGATATTTCAGTCACTAATAAAGTACATTTTTATCTGTCCAAAAATATTGGAAGCCACTGTTCTATGTTTTACTAGTTCTAAGACTTTGAGGCAATAGACTGCACCATCACAATATTTGCATTACGACAGTATTTCAAATATGTTATGATAGAAAACATACCATATATTATACATATTCAATAGGTGTTTGCTGAACTAAATACTAGGATGTTTGGTGGAAAAACTAGGGTGATTTAACCAGATGACAAAAGACACTGAGGCTAAGCAGGCACTGGAATGTGAAGTCATAAATACAAAGAAACCAGCTAACCATCACAATTTCTTGAACAAAATGACATAATGTACTCCCCTTTTGAAAGACCAACCTTACAGTAATACATACATTAAAAATGAAATAAACTTAACCTAGTAATCTTAAAGGTAGTAGCTTCCTATTACTAAAATTTCTATTACTATAGATCAAAGGTTTTTAATATATCCAAAAATTATACAAGTTCACAGCCTGAAATAACTAAAAAGAATTCATTTCACAGTAGCTTTTTCCTATCAATTTTATAAAACAATCCCACAAAATTCAGAAGTTCAGAAAAAACAATCAATATACCATTTGCCTATTTTAAATGCAATTTGTATTAACACATTTTTAAGTGATTCTAATATATGGAGAACAGTTTATTCCATAGAACTTTTTAATTAATAAGAATTTTTGGACAGTAGGAATAAACCTAAGCACAAATGACAATCATCACTTACAGCTATAATTTATCTAAATCATGCATACTGAAGTAAACAAGAAAATGCAGTTTTAAAAAACATTTCAATTTAAACATTTAAAATTAATAAAATTAAATTTTAATAAAATACATGCTTAAGCCAAGTTTTGATATTTTCACAGTTTAAAATCTATGATATACTTTCTAATTCTTGGAAAAGTTCAACTAGATATTGCTTCACATTCCTTTCTCTTTTTTCACATTTGTTCTCCTCCATAAGTAATGAGTCTTACCAATGAACATGACAACTAATTCATCTCCAAACAGACAATACTGACAACAGTTCATAAAATCCTTTAAATGATAATGACATTCCTATTATGCTCATTCCTTTACTTTTCAGAATCCTTAAAAAAATTAATGTCAATCTCTTCTATCCAAATGCTTGTTTACCTAATATATGCA